ACAATATTATACACAACTGCATTTGGTATTTCGAATCTTGAATCACTTTATGATGCAATCTTTTCTATCCTTCTATAGACATATATTTGCCATATAACTATAAATACGAATGTCTAGTTTGAGTAAACGATTGAGTGGAAAAGAAATTTTATTTTGTTAAATCATTCTTATATGTGATTTCTTTCAATCTTATTGATTTCTACGTCTGATTCACTAGGTGTGACTGTTTATAATTGTATTGAATGAGGTATTATCTAGTGTTATTCTGGTTTCCTATTCTTCGTCGTGAATCCTGGTTCTGATGTAGCGTGGCTAGTTATATTATTGTAGTAAACATGAGAGAGAAAAGAATAGTTTAAACAATCCGTTATATCAGAAAGTTGGATGGTGACTAGCAGTGCCATCTAGGACGAGTCTCAAGTAGAACGAAATACTCTTCTTGGATTTTACTGCTAACCGCCATCCACCTCTGCTTATAATGCTTGTGACGTAAGGCAATATCGAAGCAATCCCCACAGGATGCACGCATGTCAATAATTGACTTATCAATAGCAGTTCTAAGCAACAATTGAAAGATTCAAACAAATAATCCAAACTGAAATAATAACGAAAATGTGATCAGTTAACACTCAGTGAAATCAGAGTAGACGTCTCTTGTAGAAATCATTTCATAACATAATATAATCACTTCTATTCATTATAATCAAACATTTCTATCTTAACTCACTAACCAATTACTACTTATTTCCATAAGGTATATTACAACGTTTTAGCGATCATTTTCTACTTGATCAACATAATGAATAAACTAAAGTAACCAGTCTCGTCTTCAATGTTCGATAAGTGTTCAATTTTCATGCACATTCAGGTGTGAGTGAGTACTCCATACAACATTAAAACTATCACTAGTTTTTATCTCAGACTTTTGGAGTTGTCTGCAGCTATCTGCTATGAATATGCTAGTGTTGCGCATTACGACATACCGGATGGAAAACACAAACTCGTTGAAATCTAATGCCTGAAATAAAATTTACGATCAAAATTACATTCCCTACAGAGCACTCCACTCAGTAAATGAACTAAAAGTTACTAGAAAATACTGTATACGTCATAGTTATTGAACACTAAATACGTTAATGATAACTTCCATCCATTCGGTCTGTTAACCAAATATGGCAAACGTTCAGTCAACTGAATCATGAAGTTTTTATTATCAATAAACGGTCTGTAATCTTTGTTCCACAATATCACTGAAGTATTCTAAGGGCACTTCATGATTTGATTTCATTGTTCGACCGCATTGCTACATAAAAATAATAGTTCTTCTACCAGTTTCTGCGTCATAGTCAAACATTTTCGATTTCAAATTTCGATTTTACAAGTGAAATATCACTCTGCAATACCTTTCTAAAACAAAAGTTGTATTTGTGAAGGTATTACAGGAGACAGATAAAACACCTCACTTCCATGTTTCATATCTGTTTACCATTAATTGTTGCATATAGTTCCAACTCGAGGGAAATCTATTTAACCACTGCATTTATTTCAAATTTCAAGTTTCAACTGTGAAATATTTGCAGTATTTCTCATCAAACATTCAAACTCATTTAAATCCATCGAAACATTGCTTCATTTACATAACCGAGAACACGAGATCGATCTAATATCAGCATTCACTGTCGTTTACTGTGCCAATGAAACTTTCAAAGTTTGTACAATTCCGTTCACCAAGCATAGGGGAGGCAAATTACATTAGTTTTGTTTGCCTACGTTAGTCATCATTTGAAATCGTCTCATATCACAAAATGAAACATGAATTTCAAACATATATCAACTCTTGCTCTGAAACAACACTTAAGGATGTTATTTTTCTCGTTTCAGGCAGGACGTTTATATTTCGGTGCAAAGTATGAAGTCATCTTTAGTCTGAAATTTAATCCATCTCGTAGTACAACCATTGTGAAATATCCAATTCTAGTTGAAATTGTGTGCAAACCCTATGAACGTGGAAGTCCCGTAGTGAATAGCTGCGCAAAACAAAGGTTTTACAAGTTCAAATCTCATCTGCGTGTTCAACTTGACTACACATGTGAGTTTTATCGGTGTGTATTTTTCCAAATTCATGTTATGATTATAAATGAACACTACCTAACAAGGAATGACTGTATTATAGGAGATAAGTTTACCCTGTACGTCGGATACATTACCTTAAATGGAAAATGCTGTTAAAATTTCCGCTGTTGTGAAAAAGATTTCAATCTTTGCATTGCATCCGAGTTATCATACTGTCATCAAGTATTCACATATACAAATACAACTTCACAACCCATCATAATTCACTGAATTTTTCTCATGCTACTGAAACCACAATCATTCTCAAAATGTGAGGTGTTTGTTAATTGCTTTCAGAGAAAAGATGAGTTAGTCCTCATATAGAGTTATCAATTATTTGGAGGTTTTCCATAATGATATTTCATTTGATCATACAAAACTTCTAGTAATGTACAATCGCAAACAAAAGATAAAAAGAAAAACACTGATCTCCTTGTTGAGAAGTATCAACTAAATATGTTTACACTGTAACTATATACAGTTCTCTTGCACTCCCCTATTAAAATGACCTCGAATTTCGCCAATCATAACCATAGGGAATGTTTGTCATTGGTTACTTATCTACAGTCACATCACATTACTGTGAAAGAATTCTCTATAATTTCATTGATTTTTGGGATAGTTAAAATAATTCTCAATGACTCACTCTGTGATGCGTTATTTAACAACACTGCCTTGTATTGACCTTTTGCATTCAGATCCTCCCAACTTACCTCATTACGTTGCAATGCGGAACCCTTTGGTACAGTTGCCCGACCGTCAAGCAAATACATTTCTAAATGTTGGTGATCTTTTGTTTTATTGTGCACGTGCGTTTAGTATAAAGGGTTCATTAGATTTGGTGAGACGATGTTTCAAGATTAGTAAATTGCCTGAAAGAATTTGGTTTGGTAAGTAATCATAGACAATCTGTTGTGTTTTATTATTCAACAGTGGATATTTGAAGTTTAAAACTACATACTTACGTCTGTTACCTCTAGTGTAGGAGCATAGGCCACCCACTAGCATTCTCCATCCAACTCTGTCCTGGACAACCCTTCCCAACACTACCTAATTCCTATTCATTCTCTTCATGTCTGCTTCGAACTCGCGACGTAGTGTGTTATTCCGCCTTCCTCTTTTCCTCTTGCTTTCAGGATTCCCAGTTGGCACTTGCCTCGCGATGCAGTCTGATGATTTCCTCAACGACTGTACTATCCACTTCCATCGTCTTTTCATAATTTCCTAATCAATTGAAAATTGGTTTGTTCTCTCCCACAGTAAGTTGTTGCTGATGGTATCCAGCCAACAGAAATTGAGTATCTCTCGTAGACAACTGTTTATAAATACTTTCACTCTTTTGATGATGGTTGTAGTAGTCCTCCACGTTTCAGCTCCGTACAATAGAACTAACTCTATTGATATTTGTATCGAAGATTATGTCCTTGATATTGCTTGAGAGTTGTTTTGAGTTGCATATGTTCTTCAATTCAAGGAATGTTATCCTTGATTTGCCAATCCTCACCTTTACATCTGCATCTGATACTCTTTGTTCATCGAAGATGGACCACAGGTACGTGAAAGTTTCCACCACCTCCAGGCCTTCTTTTCATCAAGTGTGACTGAGTTGGTGTCCTCTGTGTTGTACTTTAGGATCTTGGTTTTTCTCCTGTGTATGTTAAAGCCCACTAATTCAGATGCTGCAGCAACACTGACTGTTTTCATCTGCATTTGTTGATGTGTATTTGATAGAAGGGTTAGGTCATGTGCGAAGCACATCCATGCGCCACTTTGCACTATAGTCTGTCTCATGACTTCCGTATGATATTGGCGATCTTCTCAGGTACACCATAATGTCGCAGAAGTTTCCATAAAGTCCTTCTATCCACACTGTCATACGACTTCTCATAGTCACGGAAGGTGATGTGTGGTGTCGAGTTCCACTAAATTGATCGTTCAACAATGATCAGTAGCGTAGCGATTTGGTTTGTGTACGACCGATCCTTACGGAATCCAGTCTGTTGATCTCAAAGTTCGGTGTCTACTGAGTCTTTCATCCGTTTCAGCAACACAGTGTTGAAAACTTTTAGTCACCCGAATCTCAAAGTCAATTGGATGTTTATTAAAGTTATCTTTTATGTCAATTACAAACAATTCCTTTCTCAATTTTATAAAACTACAGAAATCCCAATAACAAGTAAACATATGTTTAAATCAATACTGAATATTCTCCCAATGCAAACCTATTTCGTTCAACTGTAGTGAACGAGAACACCAGTTGGCACAACCAAATTCATTACAATATAAAATTATAGAACATCCTAGTAAAATCTGAGAACCACACAATAAATACTTCATTTGCAAAATTTCAATCAATCGTCTCATACTTGATTGTTTCTTCGTTTCCATACCAAACATTCGCTATTCTTGTTCTCTATTATTCGATCTCAACTTTCTACCACCAGGCATTTCAACTTCGATTGATGACAAATACTACTTACATCTGTGGACTTCGGCAGTCCACACCACACAACTAAGATTTAGATTAATCGACAAGTATGATGATTTCTTCAGAATAATCAACCTTTTGATAATCATAGCTTACTACTTTGTAACAGGAGAGTGTCCACTACCACCCCTGTTCGATTCTACTTATTGCCCTATTTTTACCACATTCATGATGTACTGACCTACCTTAGTTAGTTGACACCACATTGTAAATCAATAGAATAACAATTATCAAAAATGATTATTCATGAATGTATCGACTCAACATCCGACTCAGTTTACAAGACTTAATGTATAAAACCAAACATTATCATAATGAAGGAAAACAAATGTTTTACATTAAAGGCCGACACCACAAGCTAATTATGGCAGAATTTGTACTTGGAATGAAGATTTATAATTCATTCTCTTCATATTTTGACAAAACAATATCAGATATGTTTCGACGGATTTCTTTTCGATTCTCAGATGTCGGACCATATGTTGAACAGGTTATAGCGTACACAAATCCACTTGGCATATTGTTCGGTTTGGGAGCAAATGGTGGAGGTGTAATGATGAGTAAGGATTTGGGGAAAACATGGATTTCAATCAACCCATTCATGTATCAAAGAACTTTGAATACGTCGACTGAAATCATTACAGCAAGTGTCATACCATGGATTTCATCAACTGGATCAATTGACAATACACTGTCTGAGTCATTTTGCAAGATGCGAGTGGCTAATCAATGGAATGGTAAGTAATGTATAGTAGTAACCAGATGCTCAAACGTGTTTTCTGTCATCCCACATGAAAGTGTGCATCAAAACCTAAGAGTTTTCAATATTTCTTCAAGGTTCAGAGTTATGACAATTCCAACCGAACACATATCTCTTGTGATATGCACTACATAGCAATAACAATATGTGTGATTTTTATTTAAAAATGAAGAATATTTGAGAGAACAATTGTTTTCAATAACTTCATCATCAGGCTCTATATTTATAAGTCCATAATTATAATAATTTTACAAAGGCCAAAAATAAGGCATGTATTAATGAATTTGACAGTGTTATGTGTTAAGTGGTAAACGTTTGCATCTTTTACGATATATATATATATATATATATATATATATATATATATATATACTTCAAAATTGTATTATTTGCAAATCAGAAAGGTCATTCAATAAAGGTCAGGATGATTTGGAGTAAAGTGTTCAGTCACAATAAGTATAATAGTATTATAGCAAAAATGAGAATGCAAAACATTGTGTGAATATAATGAATAGTAGGAGAATTTAATCATGTCAATTGAGATAATAATAAGATTGTAGTGTGAATATAATATGTATTAAGCAGGGTGTTATCAAGGTAATTACGATGTGAAGATCAAGATAGAGACAATAAAAAATAATGATAATAAGGAAAATAAATAAATAAATAAAAATAAAGGAAGGGTGTAAGAGGTTTATAATATTCAGTCTAGGTATTCGGTGATCCAGTCGTAGGTCAAGGTAAACAAAGAGGCTGGATATATTTTTTCTGGATACATAAATTTGGCCTTCTGGAGTTGATCCCGATGGCTTCGGCTATGTAAAGCAGTCGTAATCTAGCTCTGTGAGGTAGATATTTTGGAACTTGATATAAAACAGAGGAAGCTTCCTCTATTTTGATATGATGTTCACTATCTATCAAGTGAGAAAGAATGGTGCTGTTAATCGATTTGGTAACTCCTTTTCCCAACCAAGCTGGTACATGTTCACGAACACGCAAGGATAAAGCCCTCTGAGTAAGGCCTATGTAACTAGCTCCACAGGAGCAGTTGAATTGGTATACACGCATGGAAGAGCCCATCTTCGGTAACCTATCCTTGATTAGTTGTGTGAGTACCGGTTTAGTTGAGAAGATTATGTGTAGCTTGGCGGCATTTTATTCACACAATTTTTTGCATTTTCATTTTTGCTATAATACTATTATACTTATTGTGACTGAACACTTTACTCCAAATCATCCTGACCTTTATTGAATGACCTTTCTGATTTGCAAATAATACAATTTTGAAGTATATATATATATATATATATATATATATATATATATATATATATATATATATATATATATATATATCGTAAAAGATGCAAACGTTTACCACTTAACACATAACACTGTCAAATTCATTAATACATGCCTTATTTTTGGCCTTTGTAAAATTATTATAATTATGGACTTATAACTATAGAGCCTGATGATGAAGTTATTGAAAACAATTGTTCTCTCAAATATTCTTCATTTCTGAATATTCTATCGGGATTTCTAAACTGCTGATTTTTATTTCTCATATAGTCGGTTTTTCCATGACTACATAATTCGTCTTTCACACGGTTGTCGTTAAATAGTAACTTTATTAATTCCTAATAATGCATAGCTTAATTTTTGTAATTTAATGCTCAAATGAAGACGTCAACACTACATTCACATGATTTTATTGAGGTGCACACAGATAAACAAGAAAATTTTAATCTGAATTGGTTTATTTCTATTGATTGATCCCACCGTTTGCATAGTTGTAAGATTTTACTCATTGTATACTGGTTTGACTGCGTTCTACAATCTAGTATTGTTTAAATAAGATAGATTATTATAGGAATTATTACAGCAGATAGCCAGATTTCTATGACATACGTGTCTGGCTATACCGTGGATACAACACGCATTCGCGAACACATCGTAGCTTAGTCATAGTTCTGTTATTAACATTCAAAATATGTCTATCAAAAATGTTACTTTGTTTGGAGTTTGAGAAGTGAGTTTATCAGCTGATTGACCACCGTTTGATCTTGTTTGTTTTTCCATACATCTCCTATAGTATGCATCAACGCAATTTATGCAAATGAACTTCTATTGGAAGACTGGACTAACACCTGTCCAAACATCAAGCCTTTTTAACCGATCAATCACTTTCAGTTGGAATACAAACTTTGTTCAAATATTTGTGCCTTTTTAATGTGTTCATTTTATGTTGTGTGCAGTAATAGAACATTTAGTTAATTTTCTATTATATTACTTATCCTACAATTAACCATTTTAAATAAAGTACATATTAATCACATTTGCATTATATTCTGACCTAATGAAGAGCGACTTAAGTAGGAATTCAGCAGACTGTTGGTTGTTATCTAACTATTTTCTAGTGTAAGAACAGGATTTTTGTAAATTACAGCTTCAGTAATATCTCGAAGTTTAGTTTCAAGAAGTTTGTTAATTTATTTGATAATTATACCATAGCTGGTGACCACCGAGCTATGACCCTTATTTTAGTGAAGGATAAATTAGATTTTCAACACATACTTGAGTCATCTGATGCAACTTGAATATAGTCAGTAAAATTTGCATACTAGTATTTAAGGAAATAAAACATAAGAATAAAATTAAAGACCTTCCTCCAGGCTAAATCCTTCTTCACACAGATAGATAAAGTTAAAATACGTCAACTGGATATGTTGTCTCAGATATTTCGTTACTACATATCAATCTGTTTTCCAACTGGTATAGCTATACACAAAAAGAAATTAGTTTACGTAACTTGGATTAGTATTTATCAAATATAACATCCATTTTAAACAAGTTGTATGATTGCTCTATGCCCTCTAACTTGTGCAAACCACTAGAAATTTATTCCACCAGACTCTTGTATTTTATTTGCAACACTATTTACTAACGCTCCATAAACACTATTCAGTGTAACAAACTACATTCTGCCGTAAAACTATCGATTACTAAAGGTATTATAGCCTATATTTGCAGTTCTTCCTTGGATCTAAGCTCACTCGGTTATTCGCGAGGTGTTTAACTTCCGTTGTATTAGCTGATGACATTGTGCATGGACATTATCCTTGTTTAACATGGTTACTCTCGGCAACATGATATTTTCATTGCTACATTCTTCATTTGACCGATGAAAGAACCTAGAGTTATTTCATGGTGAAAATACTGCCACTGTATATTGCGCCCAACATGATCTCTAAAGTTTTGCAACTACCCAATGTTGTAGTTGTTACATCTGTGCACTCTATATTGAAGCGTTCATAACAAAGTCGTTGCTTCAATCAGTGTTCACGAGGAACTGACTCACTAAAGAATTTAAATTTAATACCGTGTGCAATATGTTTTGCTTTAAAAGCAGTTAAATTGCAAGGCTAATCTTTTAAAAATATGCTTTTATCTCTATCCAAGTAACTGATATTTATATAGCATATCTATCTGATGCATCAGGCTATCTGCCAAAAATTACTTTATTGGTAGCCACTATTGATATAAAACCGTGATAAATTATGTTGCAAGTATCAAACTAAAATGTAGTACCTAATAGATTACTTCATGGCACAGAATAAACTATCGACAAGTTTTACAAAACCAAAACACCCGGTACACCAAAATTAAAGTAAATCGTAAAATGACTATTACAGAAGTATTTTAATTCACATCATGCACTAAATAACTTTTAGAACTCCTAGCATAGTTACACTGTCAAGATATTCTTTCTACTGATAATGTAACAACTTACATTCAGATCAATAAAAGCAATCCAAATGAAATGGATTACATACGTTATTCGTTTTGAGATTTCAGTTGTCCAATCCACTTCACAACTCTCTATGACTACGTGCTGATAATTTAGCTGAGATTAATCTCGGTTTTTGAATTAAGGTCTTTTCCCGTTGATATTTGAAGTTTATACACATAGTTCCCTTTATTATTTTAAAGAGAGCAAGAACAAAAATTGGTGCAGAATAATATGAATTCATTTTATTTCGTTAGGTTCTCATCAGCTGCTTACAACCTAAATTATTTAAAATTCAACATTAATACAGATATTGACATATTTATATTTTTGCTAATGTTTTGCTAGTTCAGTATGGAATTATTAAAAGTGTATGGTATAGTTTCTTTATAAGTCACGTTTTTTGTACTAATGTTGACTTAAATCTACATTCAGAATAAGGTTATAAGCCGTTCACTAAGTAAGTAGTAGTCTAATTTTATTCATCTTTAGGTATTGTGTTGAACGCTTGATAACTAGTAATCTCCAGGTTTTGTTCATCTGTGGTCGTTTTTTATTTGGTTTGTCTCTTTGATTCGCTTGAAATACAATAAACTTCAACACTATCCATCTTTACTTCTGGTTTTAAATCATGGACAATATTTAAAGCGAATGTGTTCAAGTCATCTATGGATACTATCGTATTTCGGTTAGGTGTATCTACTATGAGATTATCCAGTATGATAAGATTTATTTAATATTCCGCATTGGAACATACAATTAAATCAGCTTTCTAGATTTCTGTGGTGATGATGAACTGGATACTAAGTTTTATTGAGTTGAAAGTTGAAGTGTAGATTTGTATGATTATCAATCGTTTTCCTTCATATTCTCCCTATTCTTAAAATCCAGACCTTGCAATTTTCAGAACAAACGACATGATATGACAACTACTTTCTTCGTCAACCTTAGTGTTACAGGAAATGTGCACCAACGTCCGTCACAGCTTAAATTGGAGTCTAGGTGTTTGCAATCAATCGTACGTCTTCTTCTCAAATTCATCCTGAGTCTGTGTGACATTGTATTGGACAAGGATTCTGTATTATCTAGAATGTGCTCATTAGCATTAGAATTAACAACGGAAATTGTATTTGATCAACATTTCGACTGTGTGTACTTAAGTCATTGATGTCTATAATTCGCACCATCGATTTTCCGACATTCTTCAGAACAATACCCGTAGATGGTCGAAGATCATTTCCCCGATAGTATGTAACTTGTGCAGACTCCAAACATCTCATATTCAACCGAAGAATTCTTCCTTTCAGTAGCTTCGCTGGAGTCTCCTTCGTCACCGAATGTCTGGCATTTCTATATTGCAATAGAAAGGTATCTCTCCCTTCTCCAGCTCATTAAATGTTGAGGCGGCTATAGAATCAATAACAGTCTTTAATGTCCTGACGAAATTCTCTGCCTGACCATTAGAACACGGATGTCTGGGAGCAGTAAACAGATGTTTGCACCCTATACCGTTCAACCAGGTATTGACTGCATCTGCAGCAAAATGAGAGCCATTATCAGTCACTAACACCATAGGAACCTCTTCTCGACTAAACACCTTTCTTAATGCTTGGATTGTGAAATCAGAATTTGGTGAAGTTGTGAAAAAACTTCAGGTCACTTTGAAAAAGAATCAATAACTACCAGTGCATAGTATTTGCCAAGAAACGGACCACAATAGTCTGCCAGGCCTCAGACGATAGTTCATCCCGCTTTGAAAAATAAACAGAAAATCTACGTTTCAAATTAGCACTCCAGCCTTTCCGTATAGCACTGAGCATACTTCCAAAATATCTACGAGTTTCTCCAATGAGATCTGAACGTCTCACTGGTAAAGGTTTCACTAACAAACAGTCTGAAGTATTAACAGGTCTATTTTGTAATGACTGTCGAGAAATGTAGTCAACATGTTGAAATTGTTTGGCACTTCTGTGCTGAACCGCATAGTCGTATGCACTCAAAGCAATACTCCATCGTTGAAACATAGCAGCTGAGGAACGTGCTAAGGATTTTTCAGGATGGTAAATAAACTTTAAAGCTTCATGATCAGTAACAATAGTGAATTTCTTTCCGAATAAATATTTATAAAGTCTTTTAACAGCCCAAAACACCGCTAATGCTTCTCGCTGAGTCTGTGAATAACCTTGTTCAGTAACAGTGAGTTTGCATGAAACACAAATAACTGGTCTACCTTCCTGTTCCAAAACTGCACCGATTCCCACAGGTGGTGCATCAGTAATAAGCACAGAATGTACACTAGAGGAGTACGTTCGAAGAACAGCATCACTTTGAAGAAACTTTAGTAGATTCTGTAAGCATGACTCTTGTTCCTCACTCCATTTGAATGAATTGGATGTCAAAATATTAAATAAACAATTTGCACGACAAGAAAAATTAGGAATAAAACGGGAATAGTATTGAAGAGCACCCACTAGTGAACGTAGTTCCGTAAGATTTTTTGGAGACGGTGCATTTGTCAGTGGAGCAAGTCGTTTCATATCTGGTCTAAAACCATTACCATCAATTAGGTATCCAAGGCATTCAAAACTAGATACACAAAATGAACACATATTTGGATTTACTGTAATATTCTTCTTAATTAAACGACGCAGTAAAGCAATAAGTCTCTGGTCATGAACTACCTTATTAGAACCATGAACAATGCGATCATCTTGATAAACTTCAACACCTTCAAGATCACTAACTACTTTATTCATAACTTTCTGAAATATGGCTAGAGAACAACTTAGACCAAAAGGAATGTTAATTGTCGTCAAAATAGATGAAGATTGATCTAAAGGGATTTGAAGATAAGAATCTTCTAGGTCAACTTTCGAGAACAATTTAGAACCATGAAGTCGATTTGGAATATCTTCAGCCTCTACCATCGCGCACGTTTGTTTCAACAAACGGGAGTTCAGTGTTAATCCATCGTCACTACATATTCTAGGGGTCTTGCCGTCCGGCTTCAATGGAGTAACAATGAGAGTATCCCATGCTGAAGACTGAATCGGTTCAATTATGCCTTTCGCACACAAATCGTTTAATGTCTTCTGTACTGCTTCTCGAAGACCATAAGGAATTATTCGTCTTTTAAGAAAGACTGGATCACCCTGTACTTGAAGTTTTATAGGCTGAATTTTCATACCTCCACTGCACTTAGCACACGTAGCTATTAAATCTTTAAGTAAAGTATCAGAATTTTCTTTAGAAACTAGGAAGGACAACACCACTTTAAGCCTTATCAACTTCCTTAAACCCAGTATCGACAGTCCTGTTTCGCTAACTGAAACTTCACAAGGTATGTATGAAGAATTATCGTCTCTTATTAGCAATTCACAACATCCTCGTATGGGCAGTCTGTGTCCAGTAATCCCCAATATTGATACTTCAGTGGGTCGTACCACAACGTTAGGATCTAAGGATTTCAAGTTCTTGAATGAAATAATGGACTCTATACTGCCTGTGTCCACAATGAAGTCATGAAATGAACCAAGCGATGTAT